CAAGTTAAATTGCTCAGTTGAACTGGATTGCTTACTGAAGGCAAATCAAACCCTAAAATACTCTAATATATTAATAATCTACTTCTGGCCTCCAAGTCAAAGCAGTTTATGGTCTGTGTGGCATCTCCCCATGCAGTGGCCCACACCAGATGGTGAAAGTCCTTTTGGGAGGGCTCTGCCCGGGCTCTGCAGCAGAGGCTTTGGGGGCTCCTCCGCTCCGGGGGAAACGTGCCTAAATAACCAGCCGTGGAGAGGAACGGCAGCGAGGACGGCACGCGCCCCTCTGCAAGCCCAGTAAACACCACAGAGCACATCAAGACTTAGAAAACACAGCCAGGGAAGACGCATATGACTCATTTCATTTTTCATTTTCCTGCACTAGAAAGGAGAATGACTAATGTTACTCAACACATTTTTTTTTTCCCCCTATTTATGATTTCTCTCTTTTTTTGCACAATATTTACATTCAAGAAATAAGACTAGACTTGTCTTGTAGACATGCAGCTTTCCCTGGAACCTATTCCTTTTATATACTTGGTGAAACACAGCGATCATCACTACAAGCTCACATTTGCTAACAATTACCACATTTGTCATATGCAGCTCCTATATTTTTCTAGCTCTCTCCCAATACTAATATATGATTTGTGCAACAACTTGAAGGGCTCACAGCTGTTCCCTTATAGATAAAAGTAGATACATATATAACAAACTGCTGTGCGAGAATAAAATCTGTGGAGAATAAAGAGTGGGCAGCCACTTTTAGAAGACAATAAATGAAATATTATACACGTTCCTCCTCAAATATACACAGCCGTGAAAGGTACACTTTTGGTAATTTTTTGTCGAGATCTGTTTTTCTTTTTTTACTTTTTTTTTTTCCCTCCAGGAAATTAAAAAAAAAAAAAAAAGTGAGAAAAACAGAATCCTCAAAGACTTTCCCCCAATAAACTATTCTCTAAAGGAAGCTCTGATGATCTCTCAGAAAATGAAATAATCCATTTCCAACTAAAACTACCCATAGCGCTGAAACTGAAAATAGTCTAAGGGAGGGCTGTAGTCTGTCTTGTAATTAACATTAAACAGATAACATATTTATGAGGAAGTCAAAATATTTTGGAAGCCGATAATCCTGTAAGCCTTAACATGGTATAAAAACAACAAATAAATGCAAAGTGTTACTGTTACACATGCCTGCCTGATCAATGGTTTTCACATATTGATCTATAAATGGAGTTGACAGTCTGTGTTGGCTGCACATTTTCCAAGCAGCTCTATTTTTATACAAAACCAATACGGGCAATTACCTTTGTTTGAGATGCCAAGTCTTATCAATTCAATGTGATTTAGTGTCATTTTAATTAAATATCAGGACCTACTTCAGGACAATCCATACAAACAAAGCCTCAAACTTGACTATAAGCTTGATTTGAAGTAAACATGTTCAAGCCTTGCAATTTCAAAATATGGCTCAAAAACTCTGCTAAACAGAAGGCTTATATTTTTGGCAATTTTATTTCTATTTTTTTGGCTAGCCATAACTTTGGCAAGTGTTCTGTGATTACAGGAGTAAGAAACAAAAGAAGATTGCTTCCTGCTTCTCTGATAAGGTATTAGGGAGACAAATAACCCTACCAGCCTGTTTAATCAGGAGAAGCTCTAATACATTAACATTTTGGAATGTTGAGATACTTTCTGTTTCTAAATATCAACACTGATTAAAAAAACACTTTTCATTGTTTCAAGTTGTTCTGAATGAAGCAATGTGCACTTCCATGGGGTCTAAGAGATCAAAATGGAGAATTGTCCATGTACGTTGCTTATTCAGATACTAACATTAAGCACAGAAAGAATCCTTGCTTACCATAATTTGTGCACTGCTTCATTATTTGTGCTCTTTAAATGTACTTTAATACCAGTTTCAACCTTTGCACCAGGCGCAAGCATTTCCGCCATAAATAAATAACTAAAACCCACAAGAATCTACATTTAGCTTTTACATCGGTTTCTGTATTCCACATTTGCATCTTTACTACTATAAAATGCACGAGTGCATATGGCCCTACTGATGTCTGATGCGCATCCCTCTTTGTCACACTATAGAAAATAATCTGTCCACCTTCAAAAGTATAGCCCCAGGTGTGCTGACAAGCGTCATCGCAAATGCTTTACAACACCGCAAATCCCTTAGAGAAAATTACAAATTTTCTTCTCTATAAATCACTAATGATCTTTGTAGATCTGTGTCTGKTTTTTTTGCATTTAAATTCTGAGTGTTATTTTTTCAAATGTGTTTTTGAAATAAAATTTTCTATTGATTGTTCAAAATGTGCCAAATGCTGATTACCTTAATCCATTGAAGCCAAGAGGTTTTGCATAATTTGGGTAAAGAGGATTTGACCCATTTATTAATAGAACATATAGTGTAGTAGACATACCTAATATGTGCAGCCAAAGAGTAATACAAATTCCCTTATTTGGCTATCTCTAGTGTTTAAAAGAAAAATCTCTCCAACGACAGGACAAAAATATTCAGTCAATGTGAAACAGAAAATAGGCACAATTGGCGGATACCTTATAGACTCTGTCAAACATCTAAACAGGGGGAGACTGCTGAGATAATAGAAAAATAAAGAAGATAATTTTGTTTTGTTTTTTTTTAATGTTCTAGCACAAAATAATCAGCATTGCTTGGCATACTAGTGCACGTAGCTTTTAGCAGCAGGCTGCGTGCCTTTAAAAAGCAAAAGTGAAGGCTGCGWATAGAAGTGCACTGCAAGAGTATTTCATGAGTTACAGAACAGGATTGCTAAATGTACATATCAGCCGAACACTGCTTTTTCCAAAACCCTTCAACAAACAAAGGCCCCATTCCTTTTCCTTGAATCCTTCACAAATAATATGCRGAGAATCAGATACGCCAATGTGCAATTGATACAGATACTTCAGTGGTCTTTTACACTGGAATCACACTGCATTTTAAGCATACATTTGAAAACCCTTGGATGTTGGATCCTTAAGAATTTTGCTTTTAGTCTGGCTTTAGCAAACAACTTTAAGAGGCTTATTTAAGTAAATATGCCAAAATACTTTCAGTCTGTCAATATCTAGTCAGAAAATTCTGCACAGTAAAAAGAGATGAAAAGAATTGAAATAGAAAGGAAATTAGTAGCATGGCAAGCTTTCAACCTATTATATCGGAGCCAAGTTTGCTTGGTAAAATGACATATACTCAGTAAAATTCCACTTTTATATAATTAGCTACTAAATAAATGCAACACAAAGCAACTTTTCAGCTCTCAACCACTGAACATATTTTGTACCTGCTATGGTTATTGGAATGCAGCACTGAATATTTATGTCCAATTTAACTTTTTAGAGCCCTTGCTCTGTAACAGTCCGGCATCCTATCCCCCAAACTAAAGTTATGTAACAAGGTAATATCAACAATGAGAAACTGCATGATAAAATCCTGCCCAAAAGTGAAAAATGCTAATTTTGTCTCATTTAGCAGCTGGATACAGAAATGCTCATTAGTTTTAAGAGGGTTAATCCTTTTAACTTTTGCATATTGATATGCCAATTATGCCTAATTGTACAAGAGGCATCAGTCAAGGTAATAGTGCATAAACACATGAAAGTTATTAAGTACATCCCAACATGTAATAAAGTAGGTGTTAATTGGTAGCTGAGTTCTGCAGGCTATTGAGGTGGATAATTCATTGAGAGATGGATCACTTGTAATTTCTCTACATAATTCCTTTTGCAGTCTCATGCTGTGATGTTTTCATGCTTGTCAAAAACAACTGCAGCCTAGTGCCTTTTGTTAAACACAGCCAATAAAATATGTTAGGCATCATTAAATATACTTAACTTTTAAACTTTTTCAAAGGTACAGTTCTTCCTGATAATACATTATACTATTCCCAGTAAATTACTATAAGCATTGTTTCAGGTTTGTGATGGAGGCACATTTCACTTCAGATAAAAAGGAAGAAACACGTACAACGTGTTTCAGGCACACAATATTTTTAAAAGGAAAGTAAATGAATGTCTTATCAACTACAAAGATCTAAGGAGATTTTGCTCTGCAGAAATATAATAGGGCACATCCCTGAAATGAATTAAGCTATACCAGCGAAATAAATTATTAAAATGATGTATTCCTGCATAAGTTTGAAGCCAAAATTAAAAGAAAAGGAAATATAACTGCTATAGTTGGCTTCCTCCATTTAATAACTTTGTTAGAAAGCTCAGTATTTCATGGGAATCCATTATGTTTACAAAAGAAAAATTAGTAGTTCACGTGGTTGTAGAAAGTGACTGGGKCTTGGGGATCTGTCCCCAGCTAGCAGAGTTTTCACCCTCATTTGCATTCTCGGAAAGTAAAATGGATCTGGAGTCCAAAAAAGTGGCTAACATTGCATAAATAATTTTGTAACATCATATGGCCTCAGCTGCAAGTTGCCACCATTACGGAAGAAAATTAACCAGGGGAGACTCATATCAATCAGTTTGTTTAGTAGCTCAGGAGGAGTACAGGGGCAGGGACACAACTGGCAAGAGAGTTCATCACTAACTATTTAATTTCCCCCCMAAATGGTAATGGATAAAAAATTACTCAACTCTTTCACTCTGTTTGCTACTAAAATGCGAAGATAACTTTGGGGTCTGATTTTTGCAAATCATTGACGCCTACAGAAAGGCCATTTATTTTTGTTACTGACAAAGTTGTCCCTCAATTGGCAACCTGCCAATTACGATAACACCTGAGAGTTTAAGTGTGGAAGAGGTGCTAGGACCCCTGCCATCAAAACTGATGTCTGTATTTCGCTGAAGAAAAATTCTAATACGCAGTGGTACTCCTAAAAATCTAATAGTGCCATTAAGTTCCTTCTTGCAAGAGATTATTCAGAATTCATATTTTAACTATATTTTAATTAATTCTGTAGCTTTACAAGAACTGGTAGGTCTAGGAAATATTAGGGTACTTTACTTACAGGTTCAGCAACCTTCACGTTGTCAGACAGAATCATAGATTTGCTTTGGCTCAGTCTGTCGTGGTGGCTGTTGGCACTTTTGATCCTCATTTGGACAGCCCCTGTACTGTGGTAAGAAGGGTTTGCCTTTTCCGAGGCCATGTCAGAAGCTGTAGACCTTTCCATGGTTCCTGGGCTGAACCTGAAGAACATAAAATAATAATATTAATCTAGAGACTCTTCAGACAAGAAYGTATCAGTGCCGATTATGTTTCACTGCAGTGAGGAGAAGAAGCAGACTTATCTAGCTGGCAAAATCTTGATCCTCTTTGAACACTGCGATAACTACCAACTGTGCAAGCCCGTAGTTTTATTATTGTCCTTATCGCTCACCCATCCAAACTGCCTTGGAAGAGTTAGTTTATGCAAAAGATTATTCTTATCTCAAAAGCCATTCTCCTCTATGGTGTAATCTCTTGCAACCCTCTGCCACATCCAGCTGGCAACCGTCACGCTTTGTCTTTGGCCCTGCTCACACTACGTGTTTGAAATCTTGCAAAGGAAGCCWCAGAAACCAGCTCATGTATCTTACCTCTACAGTTCACTATATGCAAGATCCACACTACGAGTGGAGTACACAGCCATGCAGGAATCCTGCTCACATATCAGTCTCAAACCCACATCTAATAAATTGCCCTTAATTTTAGCAATCTGACTGCCAGCATGGATGAGATTTTTGTTTCTTCATTCTTTTCCTGGAAATTTTCCTGGAAAGAAAGAAATGAGGAAATGGAGAATGCAGATCTCRCACTCCAGAAGAGACCAAGAGGAAATGGTAGAGAAGAATTATATTTTTAAAGGCAAATAGATAGTGTTGTTATTCCCTATGACAATTCCGTGATGCTAAAAGATCTGTCATATCAAATACACCATATTTTTTAAAAAATGCAAATCTAACTGCTTGTTGTCACTGAGGACCCACAGACACCCAGCAGCGCTGCTGGGTGACCTCCTGCCCTAGTGTCAGTGCAACTCGACAGACTCTGCTCTAGCTAGTGAAATTCCTGCAGCATTATCCACTGAAAAGAGGTACTTTATATTTGCCGCACAAGTCTCTGGTATAGTGCTCTGTGTCCAGCATTGCTCCGTTTTCCTCCCTCTAGTTCACCCTGGCACTAGTATATATAAAGTGTGGGTAAGGTAACATGGGAGGAGGCCACACGAAGACTTACTGTTTCCCTTTCTGTGTAACTGCGTGGGAAAACTTGTAAGGAAGAGATATGCTGTAGGCTGGAATTGCTGGAGCCAGGCAAACGGAAATCCAAATGGTTGAAAATTAGCCATTTCCAAATGTATTTGGAAAGCACAACTTTTTGAGGGTAGCACCTCCCCAAGCTCTGAAGACTCTAAAAGCAGAAATTCTCTGATGGTAAAAAGTCCAGTCTCACGAAAGCATCGGAGCAGAGGAAGGTTCAGCGCTGGTTTGCACGTGGGAGGAGGACAGGAGGACCGTTTCTCGGGGCAGGACTGTAGCCTGTTGGGCTAATGGAGCGATAAACAGCTCTCATAGCATCACCCTCTCCTGGCCCTGGAAAATCAATTCCTGCCAGAGCCTCAATGCACAGATCTGGAGGACAACAGTGAGAGGTCAGGGGATTTCAACTCATACGGAAGCCCAAGGAAACAGAGCACTATCAGGGAGAGAAATGGGAAGAAGAAAGTACGTTGGCATTAGGGATCACTCACACAACATTATGCACTGTGATAGAAACTGAAACTGCGATTGCAAGMAGCAGTAAAGCTCATGCTCCAAGGAATTAGACACTCCAGGATCCTCACCTAAGATAAACTACAGAAATGGAGGGGGGAAAAAATGGCTGAAGCAGCTTCCCTCCTCCTCAGGAGCACTCAGTTTTATTTCTGCCACGGCATTTACATGGGAAATAGGAGCAAACCCTTTGACCGATCTCAGTGCTGGGCTTTCTTCACTTCCTGCAACGCTTCTTGCCACCCTATGGAGCAATCGCTGCTGGAAGCAGCGTGCCCTGCGGCGGTGCTAAACAAGACATAATCCTGCCCTCCTCCTAAACTCGGAGATCCAGACTGCTTCGTATTTCACACTGGTATCAAACCAGAATCACTTCTTGTCAGCTCTTCAGCAGGCTCCAGGCTGGAGGGCTGATCAGAGGCGAGAGACAGGAGTGACACTGGCTCTGTCACCAATCCAGTGTCTGGCTTGAGCACATCACTCCCCTGCATTTTCTTCTAAAATCCCCATACTTATAYGTGTCAGTAAAACACTGACATATCTCTTCTTGGGAGCAGAGAGAGTTTTACTGAGGTGTTCTCAGTCTGGGGTGGTGGGTACATAAAGTGGTGTGCAGAGGTTTAATACCACGACAAAATCAGGCCTGGGATCTCCAGCAGGAGCACTGCCACTAGTTCAAAAGTCTTGCGAAGACCTCTGAATATTTTGATACTAAACTCTCTGAGCTTCAGTTTTTGTCTCTAAATTAAAGCTAATTCTCATGTGTCATAGGGTTATGGTGGGACTTTCTGATATATTTTCAAGACACTCAAACCAGAGAAATCACCAAAAAGAACTAAATACCAGCGTTCTTGCTACCGGTCTTTATCCAGTGTATGCTGGCAAGATCTTGCAGAATATGAAGAAAAGGTGCATTTTGCACGAGTTTTTCCCAGTAGAAATGCTTCGGTGCTTCCCGCGGGCAGCACATCCGTGGGCGCCGGTCTGGGTGCCATGTGCCAGCAGGTGGCACCCTGCCCTCGAGCTGCGCCCGCCRCCACAGGAACCACCCTTTTCTACTTCTATTTTTTTTTACTTAAAAAAATAACGGAAGGGCAAAGACAGTCAGGAAACGGTAACGTGTTAGCGTAAAGCAGAAGAAGGAACCTGTCTTTCGCTTTTACGATTTGGTGTTTCTAAAACCACCATCTGTGGCATCAGGGCCGATGCTTAGGCCTGGTTCTCCAGGGCGTTGGGTTTCTCCTGCGCGTGGAGGAGGCCTTGGGCATGTGCCAGGCCTTGGGCAACTCCTCGCCTCTCCATACACCTTCCATAATTAGTTYGTTTGCTGCAAGGCTGCTAGTTAGCGTCTGGATACAACTTTTGCAAGTGCCTGTGGTAGATTTGCCAAAGAAAAGGACTAACCCAAGACCTTCCCTTCTTTTGTGTGTAGGSCTTTTCTGTTGTGTGTAGGGCTCCTGGAGCCAAGGGCAGCCCAACTTTACTGCATCCCCGTAAGGGGATAGGGCAAAGCACTAACAAAAAGATGAGAAGGAAGGATGGGTGCAACCATGGGCAAAGGGGTGCCGAGGGTGGCGTTAGCTCATGTGTCCCTGCTCTTGACTTCCATTAGCCATCTGGATTCACTTAGCTGCCCTGTCACTTCCTTTGCTCAGGTAGCCTTAAGGCTGGCTCAGTAAAGGACCCTACCAGCTACTCTGACGTGCTCCCAGTCCAGGATTAGGCCTTCACTGGCAATGAACAAGAACTTTGTGTGTCACTCTAGAAGAGAAGGCACTGACACAAAGTCAGATGGATACTACCAGAGCAGGGTACCAATTCTGTGAGTGAGCAAAAAGATTACACTGAGTGTGAGAGAGAAGAACGTAATTTCTCGAAGTACGTAGATCAACAGACTCCTGGGGCAAGMAGTGCAACAGAGCTGAAGGGACAAGGTTGTCTTTCTGGTCGGGACAGCAGGCAAACCCAGTCATCCTATGTGCATGCAAACATCTGGAGAGCCCCAGAGACTCAAAAATCCTCCCTGTGGGGAACAAGTGCCTAATTTTATGAAATCATTCATACTGCTTGTTGCACCCATAGTCATTCCTAGCATCTCAACACTCATCATCATTGCACAGTGAGTTGTGCTGAGGGCTCACAGGGAAATGCCCCTGCATAAAACTTGTCCAGGACATAGAAGAGCATTCCAGCACCGGGCAGTGTGGCTGCAGCCCCTGCTCTGATGCCGACAAGAGGCAGCACATGCACAAGTGACATTTTCTATAGCTGGCAGATCAATGGATAAGATGCATAAGATACTAAAACCTAATTTCTAAGCATACAGATGGGTTTCAAATATGTGGCATGGAAGTAATGAGTGATACAGAGGTGAAAAATGAGAAGGCACATGCAAATCTGCATGCTCTCTAAAACCATTTCTGAGAATCAGGCCCAGTTTAGGAGAGCAGCAAGCAAACTGCAGAGATCAGGAGGTGGGAGGAAAGACCAAGGCCCTCAAGCGTCCTCACAAAGTGCTGGGTCTTAGCAACACTATTTAAAATAGTACTTGTTTCTTTAAAAACACAACCTTTTCAAAAAAATCTTGATATATGATAACAGTTAAAATCTTTCAACTATTTATCATTTCCTTCGGAAAGGAAAGATGCCTTTTCTGTCCTTTTTCTTCAAAAGGAGAAAAGAAATGATACAGGAAACATAGTAATAATGTTATTTTTTTTTCTATTAAGAAAACCTTGATTTGATCTTTTCTTGAAAATATAGAAAATATATTTAATTTTTGGCAAAATTAGGAAAGTAAGCAATTCATCCCCCTGCCATTCCTATGCTTTTAGTACTTTAATTATTGTTTCTGTCTGACAGTGGCAGCCAATAAGTTTTCCTCTTCTACAGCAGCTCGTGGAGCTAGAAGTATTTTCATCTTGCAGGTGTCAGGTTTTTTTTGATGCATTTTGGAATGTTGCTTTGTCCAAATATGCGTCATATACTTACTGGTATTACCCAGTAACATTTTTTCATGAGTTTCATTACAGTATTAGTAAAGTTAATACACAGATTTTGCACAAAACAAAGCAAAACATTAGTTCCTCAAGAGGAACATTCTTGAGCAGCATTCTTAACTTTTGGCCTGAGCTATGCCTGAATTTCCTACAGCTATGTACAATAAAAGACAGAGTGCAAATGTTAATTCATTAGCATCTTGTACCAAGGTTTTTATAAAACTACTTTCATCCAAGAAGGGAAAAATTTACTCATGATTAATATAAAAGGTTKCATTTGTTTTTCAAAATGCTGAGATTAAAATCAATGTATATAATCTTGTGCTTAACAAAATAGCTTTTATTTTCTTCCAGCTATCTTTCTTCCTTATGACTTTTGTACCACTATCAAATCAGAAGCGTAATGAGCATGAAAGTGCTAA